AACATTTATTCACTCAAACTGAACCTTTATTTCGGGAAATTAAAGAAAGGACAGATCAAGTGTCTACGTAAAATATATTGCCTCTTGTTAGACCTTTTAACGTCTAAATACTCAGATGGCTTACACATTATCAACTAGCACAAAGTACACACAAAATGCGCCTACGCCTACGAATATCAAATGTTTGCTCTGATTTTTTTCAGTTCTTTTCGCGCGACAACGTTTTAAAAACTTTTGCTAAGGCCAAAAATGGATACAAAATATACGTTTGTATTTTTTTAAGTTAAAATTAAGTGTGTGTGTCATTGCTTTTTGCTTTTGAACGGAGGGCTGAGGTGGTGGTGGGTTTCGTTTTTTTCCTCTCTGTCTCTACTACCAACTAGTTGAATAGATTCTCGTTGGCCAGAGGGAGATCCTCCAGAGATGGATGATCGTGGACATCCTGCTCGCGATGCTCCTGATCCTCTGATCCACGATTAAAGGCATTCTCCTCGCCCTTTTTCAAGCGCTGGTAGACCAAAATGGAGCGACCGGTGCGCGACTGGCGATGCTGCAATAGAGAGGCGACATTAGGTGACTGGGCGCCCAGTGCCTGCGACCACTCGTCCACCAGAGCCTGTGAGCCCTCCAGCCGGATTACCTCTGCGTGCTCGATGCGATGGAGCAGCCGGTAGTTGCGCAGGAATACGCTAATGTTCTCAGCCAGCGGATCGAACAGCACCACATGGCTGGGCAGAGCGGTAAGCGGATGCACGGGTATGTGCGAGTTGATCCAGTGCACGGGGTCCTCAAAAAAGCGATCGGCCTCGTCCTTGTACTGCTCCTTCTTCTCCAGATTCGGTTCGCAGGTCAGGAAGCGCATCGTTACGTTCTGGTGAATGTGGCTGGGGAAGATAAACGAAATTATAAACGAATTATAATTTATAAATACGCAATACATCAATGAAAATATGTTAAATACAGGTGTTTAAATAAATTTTTATGACCAGAAGGCTCTTTAATTTAAAAATACATTTATAAAACGTGTTCCAAAGAACCAAAAAATAAATATGTAATACTTTCTAATGGGGATGTATAATATGAAAATTCTAATGTTTGGTCTAAGCCATACTAGTTACCAATCAAAGGATTTTTTAAAACTTAATTTGTAAAAATAAAAGCGCTTTAAAAAAAATATAACCAATTATAGACAGATTTATAAAAATCACTCGATACAAAACAGTTAAATTAAAACGTTTGCATGTAATATGTACTATATTGTCAAAGCTGATTTGTCTGATTTATCTAATAAAAACCGATTTGAAACCGAAAGTAGTTCCAAATTAGTTTTTGATATAAATATGAAAATAATTTTAAGTTTTCAATAACTCTAATTTTTGGTACCAACTTAAACATTTTAAAAAAAAAAAGCCTTAAACATTTAAATATTTTGTTAAAAGTAGTGTAGACCTTACCTGTAGTACGGCGTTGAATGGCACGGCATGAGGAACAGGATGTTCGCCTGGTGCTCTCGTTCATCTCTGTATTCCTGGGCGATCTCCCTCAGCTTGGGCATTAAATCAATGGGTCCCTTCTGGTGGACAGTGCTCAGATACCAGGCGGGCAGGACATTGCCCACCAGGATCACCAGGGCAGTGGTCCAGAGCATGGTGCGTGAGGCTCTATAGCTCCATCGCGACAAGGCGTCCGTAATCACATACAAGCAGAGGGGAAGCAGCGAGGACACAAAGCGAAACTCCTTGTGCTCCACGGCACTCAGGACAACCAGAGTCAGAAAGATGGTGATCAAGAGCTGCTTGCTAACCGGATACTTCTCCGACTTCCGCACCGTCTCCATTATGCCAAAGATAAAGGGCAACGTGTTGATCCCGAGCACAGTGGGCAATCCCACGGTGAAGTACCAGTGCCAAGGATGCGAGCCATAGAAGCTGCCGATGTTGTTGAAGATGTTGTACTTGAGAAACTCGTACGGCGTCACAATCAAGTGACCATGCCAGTAGGTGTCGATGGCAATTCCGAGTCCAGCTACGAGTAAACTGAAATGTTAAGAGGGAATGCATTAAAATACTGATCATTTTTGTGGATCACTTAGCTAACTCCGAAGTTTAAATTACTATAAACAAATCAAACAAACAACAAAGTAAATTAAAAAGGAAAAGAACTGGTAATAAAAATAACCCTAGACAGCACTTTTTTTGTGCAGGTCTATGAGCATTAAGTTATGTAACTATACATTTTTGTAATCAAATCTGTATCCTAAGTTTTCATATTTTAAGAATAAAACAACAAACTTAAAATATCAAAATTTGAACAGAAAAAGCATCTTAGCGAGATTACAAAAACCACTACAGAAACGAAAACTAAGTATTCAGATGTGTTTAGATTAAGACTGCACCTTTTTGAGTCTTATTTTGTTGTCTTGTAGAAATTGATGTACACTTCTCTGATAAATCAAAACTTACCCGATAAGCACAAAACGTTTGAGGATCAGTTCCATGACATTCTGACGACTCTTGCGCAAATGATATAGGGATAATGGAAGCCAAATAACCGCCGCCGTGGGTCTCAAAAAGCAGCAGATGGCAGCTGGCCACAGATAGACAGTGGATTCGCCATACCAGGGGAAGTAGCTCAGGGCAATGGTGGTCAGAGAGGCCTCCAGGGTGTTGGCTAGAGTTCGGGAGCCCGTGTAGAACCAGAACCAGGGTACCAGCACCAAAAACAGAGCCCACTTCCTCTTGCCAGTCCACACAAAGAAGCGATAGTCGGAGTAGGCCGATAGCAAGGCCTGGAGAATCCTTGGCAGCAGGACCAGAAGTTGAGCACTATCCAATTGCAGGAGGGCAAGGATTTTGTACAGTCCGGCAATCAGCAGGGGATACACATAGCTGCGAATGCCCTGAATCCACTCCCAAGTCAGGTAGCCATAGCTGAAAAATACAGAACCCAGAAATATTAGGTAAAATATATGTAAATTCTTTTCTGGTTTCAAATTCAAAGAATTGGTTTGTTGACTATTCTGGAATTTTTAAATATTTTTCCCATTTAGTTTATAGTATTAGCATCACGAAAATATAAAACATGTTTCAAAAGTGGCTTCCAAACTATTTTTGATAGTTAAAAGCTATCAATATTACTAATATTTTGAACGCAACTGTATATACAAATATGTAAATTCCATGAATGTTCTATGGCTATTTATGAATGAAGTAGCGAATGTAAATGATTGAAACGGCCATAAAACCTATGAACTGTCAATTGTTGATCTATATCTACCAATTCTTTGAAGATAACCCCAACAAATGGACCGTAATCCCTGAAAATTGAACCCACCCAAAGGTCAGTTTGTGGGCCACTTCCAAACTCTGCCAATATTCATCCGGAACGTAATATGTTTGGACCACAAAAACAGAGGCCAAACGTACTGCCAAAATTGGCAGAAAGGCGTAGAGCAGCCTCATTTTTTTAGCGCTGCGTGGGTCCCGAGATCCAAAAATTAGTCACCCGGAAAACCGGATGGCGTTCCCTAAAAAAAAAGCGGTATTAATATAAATGATTATAGGCGTTTTTCAGGCCGGTTCTAACCTTAAACGTGTTGCGTGTGTTGCGGACTTACCAACCGGTCGAACTTGGTCGAAATTCCGGAGTTCTTTAGCCAACTTTTCGGTAAAAGAAAAGGCGGCCTAAAAATAACACGAATAACACGAGCAAAGCAAAAATGAAACAAGTAAAAAGAAGATGGGAGAATCGCTCAAGGCGTTGCCAGATCCCAGTGCGTTAGTAATCGATATTAATCGGAGTAGTCGTGATATCGATATTAATACATTCAAATTTTGTAAAATCCATTAACGGTTGAAAAGAAAATAAAAGATTTAAAACAGATGTTATCTATATTTTATTATAATTCCGAAGCAGAATTAATAATGAACGGAAAACATGGTCACCCGATTTTGTATTAAAACAAGAAAACTGCTTTATATATAATTCTGGAAGGTAGTGGACATATGAACAGCAAAATTGAAAAAGGTACAAAATTCATAATAATATTTGTATATACCTCTTAAAAACCATTTACAATTGAGTTCCTAACCTTCGAGGTTTTGGGATCGTATCGGATCACGATGTATAGCATTCGCCTGGCGAATCCGCTAAGGATGAGTTTGCAGACCATTAGCTACTTCTCGATGAACTCCCGAATCCCGCCGAATACGAACTTCTGGTCGAAGGTGTTCGGGAAATACCTGTTGGTTACGAATACCGTGGGATCGGGGATCTTTCTCCCTTTTGGAGATGCGCTGGCCCAACAATACGAGCGATTGGGTGAAATGAACAAGGCGTTTGACTACTCCCGCTCAGGATCTATGATGATCACGGGACTGGTGATTGGGCCCGTTCAGCACGGTTTCTATCTGCTGTTGGACAAGCTCTTGTCGGGCAACAAACTATGGGATGTCCTGCGAAAGATCCTGGCCGACCAGCTGATCATGTCACCCATCTACATCGTCATGTTCTTCCACATAAGCAGTCTTCTGGAGGGCAAAAGTATCACCGAATGCAATGCCGAACTGTACGAGAAGTTCCTCTACACCTGGTTTTTGGACTGCTGCCTGTGGCCGGGTCTCCAGTACCTGAATTTTCGCTACTTCAAGACCCTCTATCGCGTGGTATTCATCAATGTGGCCAATTGCGTGTACATCGTCCTTTTGTCGCACATAAAACACGGTTTTCAGTAGGTCGGAATCATAATTTTCGGCTTATACTCCATAACAAAATCTATTGCCTAGTTTTATAATTCTTATAATTCTGGGATTAATTATGTTACTATGTACAGTTTTTAAAATACAAGCTTTTTTAAGGTTTGTTTTATTTTATAAATTTATGTGTTCATTTATCAATAAGTTTTTTGATTTAATTTAATTTAGAAATAGCGATATCTTCCAAAATCGACTATCGATTTCGAACTCTAGATGTGTAAATTGGCAATCGGGAGTTGCCATCCCCAATCAGCTGTTCGTTTAACGTCAAAACAATCGTGTCTTTCGTAACGTAATTTTCAAACACTCGGGACTACAGTAGACCTCAGATATTGAGGTTGCGGGGGAGGATGTTCAGCATTCGCTGCCTGCGCTTCGGAATCCACCAGAATCCACTGATCACTCGAAATGGATTCCCCTTTAATTCCCAAAGGGATTTCAAGGTCCTTTGCCGGATGAAAATGGAGCCACTAAAATGCGGAGGAGGAGTCCGTTTGGCCCATGGAAAAGGGGAAACGGAATCCCACGGCTTGCTACTCATACGATGGACGAAAATTGCCTGGAGCAATATGTTTGGAAAGTATCTGCTAGTGACAAACGTGGTCGGATCCGGACTTCTAATGGTCGTGGGCGATGTGATAGCCCAGGAGTACGAGTACAGGCGGGGATTACGCCACCAGGATCGCTTCGATACGGACCGCATGTACAGGATGTTTGTGGCGGGTGCTCTGCAAGGACCTCTCCATCACTTCGTCTACAACTGGATGGACAGGATAATGCCTGCCCGCACTACTAAGAATATACTCAAGAAAATCCTGATTGATCAACTATTCATGTCACCCGCCTGCATCTTCATATTCTTCTACTCCATCTGCTACCTGGAGCGCCAAACTCTGGAGGCCACCAACAAGGAGCTGATCAGCAAGTTCCCCTATGTCTATCTGCTGGATTGGATGACCTGGCCGGCGGCACAGTACCTGAACTTTCGCTATCTGGACACCAAATATAGGGTTACCTTTGTCAATGTCTGCACGGCTGTTTATAATGTTTTAATGTCCTATATGAAACATGACTTTGGTATCCATTTGCCTCTGGAAGGGGAGTTGGTGGAGTCCTCCCAAATGTCCTTCGCTCCGTCGAATTACACAACCAGTCCGGAAACCCAGAAAAAGGTTTGAAATGTGATATTGATAACTAATATAAATTACGAAGTCATGGGTGTTATTATGTAAAATGAAGAGGCTCTTAGTATGAATATATATATGTGTTTAGTACAAAAGTTAACCGGAAAGCTGTCTATTTTGTAATCCATGGGCTAAAAACCTTATCTTCATGGTGATAAATGTATTTTTGAAGTTGCTAAACCATTACTACGTTATAATTTAAAAGCTTTTAAGGTTTTAGCGGACATTCATTGAAATGCAATTTCAATACGGAAACATATCAAAATGTAACCTCAAACTAGTTTATCAGTTGCAAAAACAAATATATTTGTAATATATTCATAAGAAATAAAACATCTAGTCGTTTATAATCTAAAAAACCTAATCTTGTAAATTTGAATTACTCGATGAAACACAAGTGAATAAACTAGTGGTGAAAATGGAAATTCTCAATTGACTGCTTTCTTATCAGCTAAAATATTGATTAGATTTGTAAGCTTCACACACACATTTACAATTTCATATTAAATCTTTGATTATAAGTAGTAAAACTAAATTTAATCGAAGTCATCAGACAACGTGTTTTAAAAAACAATTATACACTGTTATCTTATATAAAAAAACCCCCCTTAGTCACTAAATAGCTCGGGAATCTCCCTTCCTCACTTAATAACAATCGTTTCCACGGGCTGGGTGATACCGAAGATGTGCTGGGCCAGCATTAAATGCTCCTGACTGATGAAATTCGCCAGCAAAGTGATTACATTCTCATTGCAGCGGGCGATTTGCTGACGAGTAATTGCCTTGAATTCATCCCTGGCTCCTTTATCTGCTCCGCGTGTTCCAATCCTTCGGGTTTGGGATCCGCCACCTGCAGCTCCACTTGGTGCTGTTGGTGTGCCACTGGAAATGGGTGAGCTGGTCAGCTCGAAATTATCCTCCTGCTGCGAGTTCCAAATGTGCGAGAGTTCCTCAAGCAAATCGATGGCAATTATATAGGTGGATAAAGTGCGCAAATTAAACGATTTGCGTTGCTTAATCAAGTTGAAGATTTGTTGGGTGAGCAGCACATCATTTAGGAGATTCAGCTGCTGCAAAACCAGCAGATCCCCAAGCAATCGATCTGGACAATTGGGTTCGTAAACCTTCCGACTCAGTCTGCTGATAATGGCACCCACACAATACTGAACCAAAGCCGATCGAGTGAGAGGCAGGAAAACCATGTGGCGATGGCCTTTGAGCGACATGTTCTCTAAAAGTTGACCTTGAGTAGCCGGCAGTTCGGAGAGGATCTTTAAAATGCACTGGAAGCCCTGGAGCTGTTAAGTAAAACAGGTTAAAGTATGTCTGATTAAGTAAAAAAGAAGCTTACAGTCATGCTGCCCTGCATCAGATTAAGACTGAGAATCTGGAGACTTTGAACCAGGCTGCTTTGCGTGGTCATGTCGGCCATTAGCTTGTTGGCCTCATCTCTATGCCCGAAATATATGGCCAAATCGAAGAGAAACCTTGAGATCCAAGGCGCCAAAGGAAGTGCGAGCATTAGTTGACTGAAATCCCTTTGAAATTGATCTGTATTAAGCAGCTGCCAGCATTGGGCGGCATGCAAAAAGGCCTTGGATAGCTCCGGACTTAAAGCGGTGGTGAGGGAGAATTTCGGCGGTTCCATGCTGGGCACTTCGGAGCCATCCGCTGCTTCCGGCGACCACTCTATGAATCCCTCGACCAAAACGTGACTAATATCCGCATCTTCGATCCTCAGCTTGCAGTTCCTTATATATCCGTGCAGGGAGTAAATAAACAAGGTCGTGGCATAGAATAAAACCTGGGAACTGCCTGCCGGACTGCCAGAGAGTATGTCCACCAGCTTTTCCCAGTAGACATTCTGGTTAACATTCTTACTGAAGGGCAGAAAGGGTTCCCAGCCCATCATCTGGCCACAGATCATCAGGACCTTAAAGATGTTCTTCCAGGCATCCGCCGTATCCGATTCATCCATGATCTGACGGAGATAAAACTCCAGAGAACTGGTATATAGCCGGCAGGCAAGATTTGGCGAGAGTTCAGGTGGTTTATTCTGAATCATGGGCAGCACCTCCTCCACCAGAATCCTTTGATAAAGATCCGGATCCGTTTTCATGCCCTCGGCAAGCATTTCCAGTAATCTGGGCGCTTGAGTTACGGCCGATTTGGGAAACTTATTGAACATCAATATGTAGATATAGACGCACTGCTCCAGATTATCGCCACTGTGATTGATTGTGTGCATGAATATATTATGCTGAACCTCCGGTGTTAGATGTTTGTACATTTTTACATAGAACTCCTGTTCCGGAGTGTTTTCATTTTCATTTCTCAGCGCATTTGTTAGGGCGTTTATCTCCTGCCATAATTCTGCATGTTGATTGGGGAAATTGGTGGCTCTATAACGGAAATTTATTTATTAATTAACTGCATAATTATTAAGTTATATAATTACATGACGCTGAAACACTTGGCCGCCTCCTCATAATTTTTACCATCCCTTTCCAGTAAATAAGCCTCATATTGCAAGTTAAAGGAATTTGGATACATGGTCTTCGCAGTGATTATCCAGGCCATTGCCGCACATGGATCGCTTTTTCGAAGACTTTGCGCCTCCTTCACCATGTACAACTCATTTTCCTCGTTGTTTGTCATGTTTTTATATTATTTTCTATCGTTTTTCAATATTTTTCCCAGTTTCAGCAAAACCAAAACATTAAGCCGGCAATTAACGGGGTGTTTATCAACACTGTTTAGCGACTAGTGCTGCAACTACAGCGAAAAATAGCCAAATGTAGCTTGTCTCATAAGTCAGCTTTTTCTAGCTGATTAGTATTCTAAATCTTATAAATATAAATTTTGTTATATTGTAAAATTTATATAAATCAATAAGTCAATAAATTCTTAAGACACTTATAGTTTTTAAAATTTTAAAATGTATTGTTTAAGCCATAATAAAAAAGCCATCATTTAGCTTTAAAAAGCTAGTTAAAAAAAAGTTGAACCATTTCTATCGATAGTTCTGCCATCAACAAGTGTTGTAAAGCGATATCAGTAGTGTTGCTCAGCGGCTGCTTGCCAGCTGATTTTTCGCGAAAAAAATTTTCTTATTGTAAATTTACTTAATTTCTGTGATTTTTGCGATTACAAAAAGGAAAACTATATTTAAATTGTGATAGATGGATATAGCTATTGCATCTGGAAGTGTCAAAGTGTGACTTAGCGGAATTCGTAGAAAATAATTGCGACGCGGCGTTTCATTGTTTTTGTTGCGCGATAGATGCGGTGATCTTTTTTGGGAATTCGCAAATTAAATAGTAAATAAGATAAACAAACTCAAAGTGCCACATCTGCTGCAGTTTCGCTTAAAGGAAAATTGAAAGTGGAATTTCCCCTATGAGCTACTATAAATACGGGTGCACAAACGCAGTATGCTCCATGTTTCAATTGTCATTGCAAGCTGCCCGATAAAAAAACCATGACAGTCAAAATAATACTTTAATTCGAAACGATTCAGGACAAAATTCGTACTTAAATAATAGAAAATGTCAGAGGCGAAATCGGAAATTGAGGATATAGCCGGTCCCTCAACATCGAGCGAACAACAACAACAACAGAATGAGCAACAGGTTGTTGCCACGAAGGATAAAAAAACCCCCGATTTGGGTAAGTTCTTCTGAAATATATACAGTATATATAAAAATATAAAAACTGAATGACTTAAGTTAAGCCCACCAAAAGAATGTATTGATAAATGGCTTGCTTGTCCCAATTTCCCCTTTATTTACTCGTAATCTACACTATTTATTAATGACTTGGCACTTATCACAAGTTGGACACTGCCCTATAAATCATCTAAAACCGAACAAAAGGTAAACAAACAAAAGGTTAAGTAGTCTATTTAAATAACATGCAAATAATACTCGTTCACACTCCAAAATTTGGTTTTAAAGTATAACAAACCATGTTCTTCCATATCTTATCTAATATTTTATAGTAAAATAATTGTTTAAAGTGTAAGATTGACTCCTGCAAAAACAATTTTTTTTTTATTACGTTTAAAAGAATTTACTACCTCTACAGAAAGTAAATATATATATATATACTAACCAAAAATTGCCAAAAGCTATCCACTTTCCCATAAATCATAAAAAGAACCATAGAAAAATATTCAACAAATAATGTTTAAGCAATATGCAAATAAGACAGTTCAGTTTTGCTAAAACATTTATGAAGACCTGTTCCTATTGTGAATTTGTAGCGTAATCCATTGTTTAAATGTATATTGAGAACCATATTCAAATCCAATGACTCACTATACATTTTGATTCTTTTTTATACTAATTTTGCAGTCCCTTTTTAATTTTATAACTTGATGAATCATCATTTAAGCCTTCGTTCACTTCTAAATATTGAGGTGCTTTTGTACTTGTTCAACCTATTGTAATATTGTTTGGCATACATAAGACTTAGCAAGAACGTGTTAGAGTAAAGATTACACTTAGTTAGTAACCATGTATTTGTAATTTAGATTAATCTTGATTTTAATTTAATTTATGTACCTTTTCTAGCGCCCTTTTTCGAGTTCTGTATTAGTTGCAAGTGTTTATTTACCTAAATTAAGTTTACATTAAAAGTAAGCGCGAGTTTTGAGTTGAATTATGTGTTTGATATTCGTAGTGTACAAAATGTATTGTATATAACCACCAGTTTGAGTTGTTGCATCCCAAAACGCACACAGCAGGTTAGTTGCTGCCTTTTATTGAATCTTTTGAATTTTCACCTTAACCAAAAGCACACACAATTTGACTAATAACTTTTTTGGTATTTTCTAAAAATAAATTAAAACAAAAAACTTAATTACAGTGCCGAAAAAGCAGCGACAGCGATTGACAGAGGCAAAGAAAAGCAGCTTTGAGGCGAATCCTTTGATCCTCGAGCATGCAAATCTGGAATCGGTGCCCGAACACTTGGAGAAACTAATGAAGCAGTATGAGGAAAATCGGAAAATGCCAGCTGCCGAATGGCTTACTTTGCTGATTTACTTGCTGGCCTTGGAGTGCGGATTTGTGGAGGAGGAGATTTATGCCCAGAAACGACATCTCTTGCAACCGGTGCCATCTTTTAGCAGTTTCCATGCCTTAAATGTGCGACTCCTAAGCGAGCAGCCAGCCAAATATGAAGTGTTATTTAATGACACCGCTTACTCCATGCGATTGCGAACCCTATTGGACAAACATGCTCCGGGGGAGACTTCTCTGGTGGCTGCCCTTCAAACACGACTAATGGCCATCACTCTGGGGGATCAGCTAATGGTCACCTTATCGCCAGTGCCACCTTCCAAGCAACCAGGCTATAGCATCAGCCTCTCTATCGGTCGCTATGTCCTGAGTATTCAGGCGAAGAACAAACCCGTTTACCATCGCTTTCGAAAACTGGATGAACTCTCCTTTGAGCTCAAACAGAATGTTTTCCAGCCCATGCGATCGCAGCAACTCATGCAGATGGAACACAAGCTGCAGCCATCGTTATTGGGTCTGCCCGATGAACTATACCATGAGATCTTTAGACATCTCAACAAAAGCCAACTGAATGTGGTGGCCAAAGTCAATAGGCAGCTACAGTTCTACAGCAAAGAAGTCGAAAGGAAGAGGCTACAGGGCGGCAGGGGTTAAGGGTCAAGGGCTAAGCCTCAAAAATCGATTTCATTTCCATGAAATTTGTTAGCTCTTTGTTTTTTGGCTAAATCCTACTAAATGTCAAGTCTCGCATTCGGTTACTAAACCTTTAGTATAATAAGAAATTAAAAATGTTTAAGTCTTTCATTTATGGCGGGTAAAAGTTTTGTTAAAAAATTTGGATGGAACGTAAATAAGATAAATGACATTAATTTTGCCTTTAATAATTGACATTTTCAAACTATGTCTTATGAAGTTTAGTTCTACACAAGGAAATCCATATGAATATAATTTAGGGATTAACCTAAACTGATTTATATAATTCAAAAAATCTCCCATTTGACAATATTCAGCACAAAAACTTGTTTTTTTTTATGAAATGTACATAACTTTTAATATATCTGGTTATAATAAATTATCTTATATTGATAATTGGAATTGTTCGTTTTTTATTTGGTGCTTAGAATGGGTTTTAAGTTGAAAAGGTAAACTAGCACCAAGCAATATTTCAAAATATTATAATTATACAAATTGAAAACTTAATTTTAAAAAGGTTTTTAGTTAATTTAACTACATCACTATTTGTAAGTTCCCTTAAGTTGTTTTTATTTTTCACAAAATATTTATCATATTTCTGATTTTCTTTTTATACTGTGCATTCCGTAATTTAATGGGTTGCAGTGGCATCTAGGATAACTGCGGCACCACCGACTCCATCGGCTGAATCCTGCAACTCCTATGATATTTTTGAGCCGCCAGCCACGCCTCTGGATTCCATTAGCATTAAAAGCAGTGCCAGCAGTTACTTCTATGATCGTGATAATACAGGTGAGTCCTTGTGACCATTTACCCCCTTTATGCCCCCTTTTCGACGAAAAGAGGGGTACACGCCCCTAAACGAGTCGGCCCTCAACCACAGAAGTGCAGAATGCGAAACAAGCGGCTCCAGCAGCCAAAAACACGCGCCGAGATTGTCGCATCCACACAATCCCCATGGCGCCCTCCCAAAAAAACCCAAACCCAAACCAGAACCCAATCCCCAATTCCCCACCTCGTCGGCTCCGAATCTCCAACATCCCAACGTCCCGGTGCCCACTTCGATTTTTTATGCGCACGCAAAATCAACAAAACCCACGCGAGCAAAACGGCACCCCTATAACCCCTGTATATGCCACATCTTCATACACTGGGAGAAAACCATGAATAAATCATAAAGTATTGTAAATAAATAATTACACATAAAAAATATAAATATATGCCAGTAGGTAGTGAGAAATTTCATCTACACCAAGGCCTTTTTAAAATATTTTTTTAAATTAAAGTTTTTGTGACTAGGAATAGAAATAGATTAGAAATAGTTAATACGACATATTTGCATATATTTCTAAAAATTGCAAATTATTTAAGTTTGTCCAAACATGTAACATTTCCTAAAAACTAAGTTTAATTTTAATGGTGTAAGGAAAACAGTAAATGTCCAAATGTGTCGCCCTAAAATTAATTAAAGTTAAATATTTTCTCGCAGTGCATACCCCTACACCTCTTCGCCGTTTTGATTTTCCTGGCGGATGGCATCCACAATTTGGTTTTTCTCCCTCAACTGCGGGATGCTTGCTGCTCGGTGCTGGGCTCCTATTTCGTGTTTATATTACGATATCGACTTTCTCGAGCTGAGCCTTATCACTAAAAATAAAATAAAATGAATACAGGCATAGAGGAGAGATTTCCTCCCTTGAAAACCTTATGTTTTCGGGTTCCCATGGGTCCTGTCGAAATTATCTGGCTACAACTTTATCAAAATAACGAAAAACAGTGACAAATTCATAAATAAATTATTGCAAAAGCAAACAAAGCAAAACATATTCTGTTGGGCTGGCGCTCTCGCATTTATTTTTAAATTCGAATCGTGTCTCCTGAAAAGCTCCTGAAAAATTAGAGGAGCTTTCTTTCGAGCTGCTCTTGAAGAGTGGTTCTGCATTTCCCAGGAGCAGCTGTTTTGCCCAGACTCGCCCCTCCTTTTTTAGCCGCCCACAATCTGGCCGAATGGTTGGGTGAATGAACCCACAAATGTGGGCCACAGTGGGTTAAAATAAACATATACTAAGATAGATTTGGTATTTAATTTAATTGGGAATTTTAAAACAATCCAAACTTTCGGTATTATTGTTAACTTTTGGGAAAACTATTTATACAACGATTAAGTAGTACTTTTTCCTAATATAAATGCATTGTTATTGGTCAATTGAAAGCTGATTGCACTGCCATTTGAATCATTATGATGATAAAATTTCTTTAAAAGCCCGGTTGTGTCCGGATTTTTATTAGACTTCTCTCCCTGCAATAAAGTTTAAATTGCTTTTCATAATTTGTTGGCAATGTGTTGAATTGCTTGATTTGCTACTTATCTTATCGCGAATAAAACAGCTTCAATTTCTAGAACATACTACAAGTGACCTGGTTTTTCATGAGGGTGGAAATTTCTTAACAATGAGTCAATTAAGAAAATTGTACCTTTTTACATTTTGCTATTTTGCTATAAAAAATGTTTATCGATTGTTTATTGTTAAAGTTCCTCAAAAATACTATTCGTTATGAAATACTAGTTTGTATGTAGGCATATAAAGAAAAAATCAAATTTGAAATTTGAATAACAAATCGATCTTAGGGTATTTTAGTTTATTGTTTACTAGTTTTGGTATTTATATTTTTATGTTTTCAACCTTGAACTTAGCTGATGTACTTACGACTTTGGTCACACTGTGCGCTCATCTGGGATGCTAAACTGTGCCAAACTTTTCATTCTTCTTCTCGTTTTAGTGGCTGTTGTTGCTTATCCTTTTCTCCTACTCTTTCTCCTCTCTTGTGGGTGGGCTAGAAACGGTAAACAGCAAAGAGGAATCAAAAGAGTTGGCAAAACATACGGTGCTCCCCTTTCTCCCTTCTCCCTTTCTCCTTTTTTTTCTCTTTTGTGATGCAAGCGAAAGCAAAGGCCAATTTTCTAAACTGTCCTTCTCTCTTTTACTCTCACCTGCATTGAGAAAAATGTTTGTATTAGCTAGCGTCTAAACTTAAAAATGAAATCATTTTCCAAAATTTTTAAACTTTTTAAAATTGGAGATTTGAAATTTGAACAAATGACATATATCTCGAATATATATTACTCTGAAACATACAAGTTATGTTAATAAATATAGCTAGCATACTTTTCCAACTTTAAAAGGTTTATTTTGATTCCGTAAAACAATACCTTGAAATAAAATAAATAAATAAATCTTTTTGAAATAGCAAACAAATACGCGATAGAGACAATTTCAGATTTTAGAATGTAAAATATGTTTTAATGTTTGTCCGTTTCTAAAAAATGAAACTTTAAGAGCTAGTAGTAGTACTAAAGAGGATTTTTAGAAATATTTGTTTTTTTTTTAATTAAAGTGCTTAAAAGAGTAAATACAGAACTTGGTATGAGTGTTTTTAGACGTACCCATTTGTTTATTATCTGTGCTTTTTTCGGCACTCGCAGAATCCAGAATTTCTCTGCAACTTTCTCTCGTTTTTGGTGAACGCTCTCGGCCGATTGCGCTTTTGTCCTTTCGCTTCTTGGACGACCGCTTTTCCAGCTTTTCCGCAGGATAACAAAGCTCGGCGCAATCAGTCGTCGTACTTTGCCCAGCGTCTCTGGTCGGAAAAGCGGAAAAGCGGGACTTTTCACCCGGGAGAGAGTGTCGCGAGTCCTCGCTCTCGCCCAGATACCGTTAGAACCCGAGAACCTGTTCGAACTAGGTCCTTTTTTGGAGTGACATACATATGCATCGCGAATACGCGTCCTCCGCGACCGCGTGTGCCCTGTGTTTTTATAAATATAAATAAATAATTCCTGGCTGGTCCAGGATTCAATGCCCAAACAACACAGCTGTTTTTTGGGAAGCAGCGCTGGAGATTTTAATAAAAATTTTCAAGTTGGTTTAAGGAGCTGCCAAGCGACCTTGACATCGCAGTCATTGGTCTAGTTAGCGATTGTATTATCTTTGACATACACAAACCAATGTGAAATCAGATGGACTGTTTTTAAAACAATTCAAGTGGTTATATTACCGATGAAAACAATTCAAGTGGTTATATTACCGATGAAAAACAGCTGTAACTTTTTGAAACAAATTTTAAATGGATTAACAAGCACATTCCAAAAATAATTTAGAAAAAAAATCAGGAAAAAGAAATAGCTTTACTTGGACATCGACTGTTAATTTTTTAACATTAATGTTATCAGCCTGGATTAATTTTTGAAAGTACATTACTTTCTTGAACACAAAAAAAAATCATTTGCATTCTTTTTTACATTTTTTCCATTATCATATTAAAATTTGAAACTAAATTCACTATGCTAAGCTTCTCAGAAAATGTCCTAAATTTTTAAAATTCAAGTTGAAGTGCAAAAAAAAATCTTTACTTTTTTTTTTGTTTTTTGAAAATGTTGACTTGGATTGCAGAGATCTTTTAGTAAAAATGTTTTCTATCTGTCTGTTTTAAAACTGGAATAGTAAAGCAAGTTTTTAGAGTTTTTATCTTGACGCGCTAGACTATTAACTCTTAATAAAATAATAACAAAAACAGTAAAATAAACAGCGACCTAATCGCGATGGTCTAGTTTAATTTTGTACTATCATAAACTAAAGAAAATCAGCCTCAAGCTGGATTACAGCAGCGATAGCAACGGACCCTGGGAGAAGCAGAACCCGAATCCGCCGAACCCTCATCCGGAAAAGGACAGCAATGGCAGGACCAATGAGCAACTGCAGCACGATCTGTTGCAGCAGTTGCAGCAGCAATTTCAGATGGCCGCGGTGCAGCAGCAACAGCAGCAGCAGCGGCAGTTGCTGCAGCACCAGCACTCGCATCCGCCCTTCCAGACCCCGCAGCAGCAGCAACATCAGCCCGCACAGCAGCAGCAGCAGCAACATCAAAGTGCACAGCTGCAACATCAGTCGCTGCAACATCAGCAGCAACACTTGCACCACTCGCACCACCCACCGCTGCAACACCACCTATCGCTAGGTGGCTACCAGCAACTGCAATTGCAGATGCAGTCGAATCGGAATCAGTATTCCACGCCGCAACATCACTATCGAAATGCAAC